AGTCGGTCGCCAAACAAAGGGTTCATCACGAATCTCATTGAGGATTTGGTGGATGGGTTTCTTAAAAACCATCATGATGGCAGTGTGGACCTTTAGCTTCCTCGCCTCATTATTTTGTGGGGGGTCACCGCGGGTATTATAACTCAGTTTACCTTTCTTGCCAACCATGTTAACTTTAGTCATGGCCTTCTTGTCCAACATCGCTATTGTGCCAGATCTTGCCTTAGCGTGGGCAACATCCTCCTCTACTCTTATGTGCTGATACACTATTTCCATCAAAGCTTCTATTGAAAAAAAGTGGAGTCATAGTCATTGAGTCCCTCAATCTATGCCCAACAGGTAGGCCGCACTTATACTGGCTAATAGCTAGGTTGATGAGGCATTCACCAATTTGATTGAAGGTTTCCCAGTATCTGTGATTGTATGACTTTAGCAACTCTTTTTCACCCATGTCAACGGCGAGCAACTGGTCAACTTCTACAGGTGTCTTGGTGTTTGTTTTTAACCTTGTAACAAACGACTCTACAAATTGTGCCTAGGAGGCAATGTTGTCTCCTAGCAATCTCTCAAACCAAGTCAGGCCTAGGTCACCAACGTATGACAGAAACAAGATGCACATCAAGGCATCATTCCACTTGTGAATAGTCATGACTTGTCGAAAGTGGCTAAGATACAAGTAAGAATCCAACTTCCCATCATAGATTGTAAACTTTGGCTAGTTAAAGCCAATAGGCAAAGGTGCGTTTTATGTTGCAGGCATAAACGATGAGCTTCGCAATCTTGCTAGCGCTTTGTCTACTGGTTCATAGGCAAGATACGGCATTAACATTGCAACCTCGATGTTTCCATGCGTCCTAAGAACCAATCGCTGCAAAGTAAATACCCTTTAGGGGTCTTACACCTGGGCAACTTCTTTCCTTTGTGCCCTTTCCTCCAAGACAATCCACAAAATCTTCTGATCTGGGCAACTCCGTGTATAGAGAAGATGTCTAATGAGAGCGCAAAGGTTGATAACTGTTTTTTTCAGTGTGTGATCTTTTAGACATCATCCTCTCAGACCTAGAGTAACGAGTTTTAGAAGTCCTTGACTGAGAGTCATCTAACCTGAGGCTTTCACTTCCAAAATATGTAAGTGTGGAATATCCATCTTGATCTCCAAAACAACGAGATCGCGTTCAACTTTCGCAGATTTCCATCCCAGCTACACGTTTTCCTTTCACTTGGCGCTTCAAAGCCTCCATGTCTGCCGCCATCATTCTTATCAACTTGTCTTGCTCCTTCACACGATCCTCTAGGACTTGGGTATCTGTTCGTCGCCTTTGTCCATCTGGTCTTTGGGAGTGGCGAGGACTCAAACCCGCTTTTCTCACGTGCCCTTGTGAGGGTTCCGTCGTTGAAGATCCAAGTCTACCATGAGTGAAGCAGGAGGCAAGTCGTCATGCCTTCTGTTTGCTTCTGGCGTCTGGCCATCAATAGCGAATTGCGGCAGATCTCCGTTGTGTGCCATCGAAACTTACGGAAGGAAAACTTGATCAAAAGGTAAGTTCTCTGAGTTTTCCATAAACAATGCCAATTGTAAGAGCACGAAATAATCTTCACTCGTATAATCCTGTTGATCAAGCTTGCGTTCCTCCAAACGTCGTCATAACACCTGAGATCACAAACATGAGCTAGCCGGCGGGTGTGTGCCGGAAACCCCTCTGATACCTAAGTCAGTAAATAGGACTAAATAGGCAAAAACTCTGTGAATTTGGAAGTATAAATTGCAGTACCTAGGAAGAGGGTTTGGCTTGAGCTTTTGTAGATTTCGTATAGCACAATCTTAGTAAGACTCTATCTCTCATTTATAGAGTCATCCTAGCAATCACATTCCTAAAGGATAATGTTTATCCTTTAACACCCTTCTCATTACAAGTCAAATGAGATAGCACAACTCCTTGTTTTCTGCCGTGCAACCGAATTACTTTTACCCTGTCCGCCACTTGCTTAACAGTGCTACACACAATGCCGTGCATGGCGTCAAACCTCCATTCTCAATCCGTTTGACCGTCTTCGCTTATAGCTCGGTCAAAGTGTTGACCGCCACTAGGAAGTAGCTAGGTCCAGAATTATGAGCATTTAGGCCAAGTTTGGCATCCTCCAAAAAATTCAAAAAGTCAAAAAGTCACTATCCTATTTAAGTCACATCATCTTATTTAAGTCACATCACATCTCTAACACATCACTTCAAACCCAACCTAAATCCAACCCATATTTCATAAAAAGTCAAAAAGTGCACTTATTTAGTCTTCCCAAACTTGGCCTTACTAGTTCGGTCAAACATCTTTGACCGCCTTCCAACCTAGTTTCAGTCAAACCATTAATTGCCTTCCAACCTAACTTCGGTCAAATCTTTGACCGCCGTCCAACATAATTTCAATCAAACCTTTGATCGCCTTCTAACCTAGTTTCTGTCAAACCTTTGACTGCCTCTCATTTATAAAGTGAGAGTATAATGATATTTTTGTCTTTAATCTCATGAGATTGGATTGTAAAACTCAATCTTTCATCATATTGCTAATTTCGACAAATTCTTTCAAAATAAAATTCACTAAATTATTATTCAAATTTCACCACGTTCGAGACAAAAACCATCAGGGTGTCTACATCCTTTTTATTTTTTATTTTTTATTATTATATAAACACAGTCATATTTGAAACCAAAGCTACAAGGGGTAAACAACCCAGCCAGAGGAACAAGACCTCCTAAAAGAAGCTCAAGCTACCCAGTGAGTCGCCCCATTCGCTAACCTAAAACACCTAAAACACCAAGAAAAAGACAACAAATTTTGCCTAGCCATGGATTTAGCAGGTGTTTGGAAAGTTACTATTTTAGTAAATTATTTTAGTTTTTAGTTATTTAAAGGGTGTTTTGAGAAGATGGTTAAAAGTAATTTTTTTAATTTTTTTTGTTAGAGATGTAAGTGGGTTAAAAGTGGGAAGTCTCAAAATAGGGCTTAGTAGGCTAAAATTTTTATGTTTGAGAAGATAGTTAGATTTTTTTATAGTTGGATGTGATATTTGTAAGAAAAAATATAAAATGATTATAGATTTGATGTAACATTTTTTCTGATTAATTATTTTAGCCTATTTTATCATTTTGTGAATTTTAACTCAAAAAACTAAAAAAAAACCTTTGCCAAACATCCTCCTAATATCACTCCACACAATGTCATATTTTCGAGAAGAAACATCTCTTGAAACGCACAGATTGAAAGGAATGTCATTCAATTGTGCGTTTTAGAAAATGTACCTTCATGAAAATATGACATTTTTAAGATTTATTTTAAGAAGTTAGTTAAAAGTTTATTTTTTAATTTTTTATGACCTTTTTCAATAATGTATAAAAAATAAAAATTGATATAATTTTAAAAAATTTTAAAAATAACTTTTAACCGCGTTAGCAAAAACAAGTCAGAGTAATCTTAGATCCATGACTAAGGCAAAACTTCTTATTTTTTTTCTTGGTGTTCTCGACAAAATTTGATGTGTTTTTCATTGAATGGATAAGGCCTTGTGGCTGGCCCACCACCCACGTTATAATTGATTGTACAAACAATTTGTGACTTTGTTATATATATATATATATATAATTTATTATAATAGGTATATATGTTAGAAATGGAGTAATTAATTAAAGGTCAAAAAAAAATTAAAAACTTATAAGATTGCATTCTCAATAAAACAATAATGTGTAATATTATGGTACGTCTCCTCAAAAAGTATCTATAGTATGTATTCTTCTTATACATTTTTGTAGTATAAGTTATGTATTTTTGTGATAAATATTATATATTATGATTATTTGTTGTTCAGAAATAAAGTTACGCATTTTATGATAATATTATACATTTTTTGTTTGGATAAAAAATTTATAACATTATCACAAAATGAGTAATTTCATTTTTGAGCAACAAATTATTGTAACTCTAACATTTATTACAAAAATAAGTAATATACACTACAAAAATAGATAGAATTTCCCTAAAACGATTGACTCAATCAGTTTGTGGAGGAAAAAAATAGTAATGTTAGGTATCATGAAAATTATTTCATGAAAATGATCATGAAATATTTTTGACCCTTAGATTATATATGCAATAAGTTACAATGTGTAATATAAAGAATCAAGAATGGAGATTCTTTCATGACCATCCTCATGAAGCATTTTTCATCAAACCCACCATTTTCGGAGAAGAAAAAAAAAAGGAAAATTACTCTCAAATGATAATTTGAGAAAGTTATTACATATGTGTACGGGGAGCAAATATTGGGCAGCACATAGTCCAAACTCTGCCCGGCCCAAGTTCTGGTAGCCCATCTCCGGGTGAACAGTCGATCATCTCGGCCCACTGCTCTGCTGGGCCCCCAACCTGTTCGGTTTATACCTCGGCCCAACGCCGGAATTTGAGAAAGTTATTACATATGTATGAAAAAAAATTATAATTTTAATTATTAATATTGATGAGATTGTGTATTAATTTATAATTACCTTTTAAGTTTTACGCTGATCTGAAATTTCTACCCAAAAAGAAAAAAAAAAAAAATTGTGAAGTTTTTGTAAATTAGGTATTTTAGCATATTCAATTAATACATTTCAATATATAAATTAGGTTTATATCTTGAATTTATGGATAGGAAAATAGAACAAAAGAGTAAATTTATACATTTTTTTTTGGAGGGGGGGTTGACAAAATAGGTATTTGTCCCCAAAAAAAAAAAAAAAAAAAAAAAAAGTCGTAAAAAATGAATTCAAATAAATAACTTCATTTCTCCATCATTTTTCTCCTTCGTCGACAAATCTAAGACCCAAATAAATATATAGCATTATGAAATTCAACCAAAAAATTTTGCAATTAAAATGGATATTATATGGATCAGGGAATACAATCTCCCCATTCAATATTATCCTGACAATGGAACAAAGTAAAAATGCGGAATAAAATCTCACAATCCAATCATAAAAAATGAACAAGCAAAATTGTATATCTAAAACTGTTTTTATGAACAAGCATGTCAAAATGTACAACAAATACCACTATATTTAACTACATTCCAAGTTCCAACAATTATAATATTTCCTCGAAATTATACCGAACAAAAAATCATACAAGTGGGAGAATTACCGGTATCATCATCTTCACTTCACTGGAGCAAGCTTCACGAATGAGAAATCATCCTCCTTTCTACTTTCCTCTTGAGGTTGGGGTGCACTTGTTTCAATCTCCGAATTATGATCATCAATTCTTAAAATCAAGTCAGGTGTTGTCGATGATGTGGGTGACAATGGCTCCGCTTCAAAATCATATAAGTCACGGTCCTCGTACAAACGGGTTGAGTGACCGGTAGTCTTGAAGCGATGGAGCGCAGCTCCAGCAGACTGCAAGGTTGAACCCACTGAAGCTGATAGGCTTGGGCTTTCTCCGCCAAGGGTTTGGGTAGGAGACTTTCCTCCCTGCCTGTGCTTCTTTTTTACTGCCATGTGCCACTTCTTAAGAGCCTTGGATGTTTGTTCATCAAAGATTGATTTCTTCATATGCGTGCCCATCTGCAGTTCCACAGGAGAGTCTTCAGCCAACCGATCAGTACACAAAAATCAACTCTAACATCAAACTACACGGACACGTGGCACGACACAGAGATGCTGACATGGAGGACACAGTTTTATATATATTTAGTATTTATCATATATATGACTATTTCATTTATTATTTATCATATATATGACTGATTCAGATATTTTGGTTTGACAGTGAGAAATGTGAAATCTGATAAAGCAATTGAATGTGGACATTGGCCTTCTCCAAAACTCGTGTTGACAAAGTTTCACCAGAAAAAGAGCTTGTTAAATGCCACAAACTAGAGGAATGAACATTTAACACAGCTAGTACCTGAGCTATAAGGGCATACAGAGGAAGCGTGATGTAGCTACATAAGAACAAGACTCCAAACCTGCAAACCCAACAACAAAGTTCACTCCGGCAAATTCAAGGCCAAATCCCGAGCTTTAGAGTAATTATGTCTGTGCACAAGGTGGTGGCTATTTAAATTGTAAAAAGAGAAATTATGGAAGAAAAAGCTCACCCTAAAGCAATTTTAACAATTACAAGCTTGAAATTGTCATCATGGAAGCAAGATTGTAGCCCAAACAAGTACTGCATAAAAAGGAAATATGTGTCATTTTCCGTGTGAAGGTCATTAGACAATAAAAATAATAAACAGAAATATCAGATTTTCAAGATAAGACAGAAAATATTCATTACCCAAATCCACAATAAATATGTTATCTGGAATGCATTCTGCATTCAAGCATACAAGCAAATTAGTTCTCCATTAGTAAACAAAAACAAAGAATACAAATTGGTAATTGTAAGGAGAATGTTTAGATCAAGGAGCAGTAAAATTAGGATTTCCAAATTAGGATAACCATCTCTTCGCCAAAGACATCCTAAACCGCTTGATTGCACAAGAGATTCACAAGAACCTTTCATTTCATGTGTCAAGCAATATAAATATGTTCTTCCATATACAAGATCTCAAATTCATGTATCCCTTGCAGATGGAGCCACAATTTTTGTCTAGTGGTGGTAAATCTAAAAAGGCAAATGCTAATAAGTGCCTCATATGCATTGTTTAATGTTGGAAAGTGAGTATAAAATGTATTGAAAATATCTAAAACTACTAAAAGTGTATTGATCTAGGGTTTTAGGGGCAAATGTCCCCACTTGTTAGCAAGACCCATCTAAAAAAAATTGGGCAAATGTCCCCACTTGTCCCTTTATAGATCCACCCTTGCTTGGCTACGGACAAAGATATCTTTTGAATCGTTTACAAAAAGACGTTAATGAGATTACCTTGGCTAAATTGATCGTAACTCTTGCGAGATGATCTTAGCCATTACAAAGAATATGTGAACCCCATCCCCTCATGCATACCCAAATTTATGGCAAAACAAGAAAAATGATCTCTCTACCCAAATAGGACATTTTGATTTCATACCTGAAACAAAGCAAAGTGGATCAGATGAAGAACTAACTGCGGCCGACCAAACCAAAAATATTTGTTCGAGCCTTGCACAAGAGGAATCCCTTGGACAACTGCATGTCTTTCCGTGATTTCGAGAGCCATCATAGTCAAAATGGCTTGGAGCTTTGTTCCAACAAGTAAGATTATCTGAAAACAATTATACAATCAACACTCGTCTTCCATATTAATCCAAAAAATTGTATGACTGAGAAGAGATTCCTTACAAGGATAGGAATTAAGGATGCCCAAAACAATAACTGCCACCCTGAAGGAGATACGGTGATTCAACAAATAAATAAATAAATAAATAACACCAAATTTATGATTCAAGCAGTAACTGAAAAAGTGGCTCACCACTAACATTCAGGAGCAAGAAAATCACAAATGAAGCCCATAAGACGGGACTGCCAACATCATGAAGAGACTATGTCAGTGAGTCTGAATAATTACTCCAATTGAATGTAGGCAACAATAGATCGTCAAAACCTCGATATAATTCAGAAAAAGAACAGTTATAAAATAGAATACTACCTGACTCCCACAATTGTCTTAAAGTCATCCTCTAATGACCTTTTGATATATTTTTGGAAGTTAAATTTACTTCCAGGAGCCAAATGAACCTATAGAAACAGCATCTTTAGAAAAAAGAAAAAAAAATAATTTTAAACTGCTTACAGATTTTTGTCCCTAAGAAAACTCACACTGATGAATCCGTTGCGCAAGGTCAAGTAGTCAGACTTACTAACAGACCTAAAGAATTGTCGAAAGAAGCATCCCTGCAAGAGACAAAAAAAAGAAAAATAAAAAATCTGTGATTTTGAGTACTTAATCCAGAGTAAAAAATATTTGTACTTCCAGAATATGCCAAATAAATTATACAATTTTGCATAAGATGATGATATGAACATGGGCAAGCTAGAGAATTATATCTTACAATATAAAAGAATAATGGAATCCTAGTCCAGAAACTAGTGTGTGCTCTCACAAAAGATGTCTCATGAGTAAGCCTGAATCTTGAGGGATCTGCATATTCCGATTGTGGAGGAAAAAAAATTTAATAATAATAATAATGAGAAACCCATGTTCAGACCAAAAACATAAAGTTCCGAACTAGAACATAGAGAATTTCCATTGTGCAATAATACCATTGGAGAACTCGTAGTCGTGGGATGCAGTCTCCAGCTCCCACTGCTTCCACCCGCGAATCTGCATACACTAATTTCCATCAGACAACTAATACGTAATCACCAGAAAGTCAATCCAATATCTAAAATGGTAAGTACTGTTCAAGATCAAACTGAGATCATCTTGATCAAAAGCTTGTTTGGCTTTGTTCAAAAGAAAATACCTTTAATCATGTGTATCAACCAAAACACAAAAATTATATTATTATATTTTTAAATTACCTTGAGTCGCCCAAGTGCCATCGTGACAGCACTGTATAACACATGTAAGACTGCTAAAAAGAATATGAGGATGTGTAATTGATGCACTCCTTCAGTGGATATCAGCGGCACCTTCCCCTGTTGGCAATAATCAGGTTGATTGAAGGAATAAGAACTATTACTCTTCTAGCTAGCAAATTGTACCAATAAATCAGAATAATTGTGTTGCACAGTTATCTATCAATAAAATTGAACTTTATCCTGTTTTTCTGTTGTTGACTTCTTGTGGATTGACAGAAAACTTAGGGCATGTTTGGTTGTATTTTCGTTTTCATTTTCCAGAAATACAAAAAGCTTGTTTCATTAACTGCTTTTGTTAACTATTTTTGGATTTTTTTATTAAAAAAAAAGAAACTCTTTAGGAAACACCAGAATTTTTTAATTGTCAAAAATTAATATTGTACAAAAATGAAAACGATATGAAAGTGATGAGTGTTTTCAAAATTTTCACTGTTTTTGTTTCTGAAAACATGAAAAATGAAAACGAAGAAGATGAAAACACAACCAAACACAGATTAATTCGGTTAGGTTACACTCTTTGTATCATGACGAAAGTCATTGTCCAAATCTCTACCCCTTTCATATTTGACAGAAATTTACAAAGCGGTTGAATTTATAATTCGAAGCATAAAAAATAGAGTCAAATGCATTGTTATCATGGTTTTACTTTAACACTTTGTATGCATAAATCTGTGCTGTTGTGATGCCTATATTTATTTATAAATTCTACCATGCTATAATGCCTAGACTATGTTAGTTTAGTTGGACAGAAAAACAATTCAAACCATATAACCTTAAAAATCAATAGATTTATATGGCAAAAGAAATTAGAGAAAAAGAAGAAGAAATACAAGAGATGCATATCAATTATTAGCACTTATCATTCTTTTGTATTTGTACTAGTACAACTATATTATCAATTATGCAGCATAATTATGAATACGCATGCCAGCAACAGAAGCACTTACCGACTTGCAAGAGGAAGTGGAGGAGGAAGTGGAGCTACTAGCCTCAGCTAAAATTCTTTGTTCGAACCATAAAAGCCTCCGTTTATGTGCCTCTGTTGTACTGGTTTCGGGGAGAGGACATGGCAACAAAGTATCGGCAACATTAGTGGGAATACAGATTTTGACAATGTATTTCTGCCCAAATGTCAGAAGTAGCGAAATGAAACCAAGAATCATCAACTCTGCAGTAACAGAACAAAAGTCCAACAAGGATTCCTAACTTTTAGTTCCACATAGACCCAAAAACCACCACCAAAAAAAAGATAATAAAAACGGCATCCGAAGTTAAGGGGAAAAAAAAGGTTCTAAATTAGTTCCGTATGGAAAAAGCATTATCATCACTAATCATTAGCTATGTTTTCTTACCGGCTTTAACTTTCTCGAGAGCTTCATACAGAGCTTTCTTGTGCCTTTCCGAAAGGTACTGAAATAAAAAATAAAAAAAAATTTATATTCATTACCGCAATGTTAAACAGAAGAAAGCAACAAAGTCAAACAATGAATTCATCAATTGAATGAATTAAACAACATGAACCAGTAATATTAGAACCAAACATAAAATGAAGATTAAGATAAAACAAGGAAATTAACAGGGAAACAACCCAAAAAACAAACAAAACAGTCCAAGAGGCACAGCACATGAACCAAGGCATAGTTTGTTACCACTTTTGTTTTTTGTTTTAGTTTTCATTTTATTAGAGATTGGATAAGAAAACTTGTTTTCGAAAAAGTAGAATTGATTCTAAAATTTTTCAAAATTTTTTGAAATGAAAAAAATAGGTATTTTCACTTGTTTTGAAAACTAAGTTTTCAATTTTCCCTCTCCTCCCTCCACCAGCAGCCACTGGCCAGTTTTAGTTTTCATTTTATTAGAGATTGGATAAGAAAACTTGTTTTCGAAAAAGTAGAATTGATTCTAAAATTTTTCAAAATTTTTTGAAATGAAAAAAATAGGTATTTTCACTTGTTTTGAAAACTAAGTTTTCAATTTTCCCTCTCCTCCCTCCACCACCACCAGCAGCCACTGGCCACCACTGTTTGGCCAGAACCCTACACCTCATTAGGAGTTGCAGGGCTCGAGTCTTGCCTATGACAGGCAAGACTCCATATCTCAGGCGACAGCTTCCGATGTAAAAAATACAAAACAAACAAACAAACAAAAAATAATGATAGTAAACTCACTGTTTGAATATAGTGTCCATACCCTTCCTTCAAAGATTAATATATAACATGAGTGAATTTGTTTTCCCAATCAAAAATGCAAAAGCCAAATTAACTCAACCAAAAAGAATCAAGTCTCAGCTAGTCCTTTCCACAACACAACAACCCACATACAAATACCCAAAATTTTCAGTCTACAAACAGAAAAACATCAACTCACAAACAAATCAGGCAAGAAAGAACATCTAATAAGCAAAAAATAAATAAATAAACAAAAAATGAAAACAAAATCCTGCAAAAACTGGGGTCAAAACCAGGAAATCAGAACAAACAACAAAGCAACAACAATTATGATTTCCCCCAGGTAGAGATTAGAGACCCATTTTTTGGGGAGAAGAGAGAATTTAGGAGATACCGTTCCAAATTTGTGGAGACCCTTCTCCATGGTAATGGAAATGATGATGATGACAGCACACACACCCGCAACAGCCCATGTCGGGGTCTGAGTAAGCTCCCTTGTCGCAATACTACTGCTGCTGTCTCCCGCCATACCCTTAGCTCTCTCTCTCTCTCTCTTTTTCTCCTCTTCAAGTTTTAGAGAAAACCCAGATACAGATATATATGTATCTCTCTATGTATACGTATATATCTAGAGAGAGAGACAATTAGAAGGAGATTTGAGGTTTGAAGTTGAAGAGAAGAGGGAAAGATGGTTTGGTTAATGAAAAGGGTTTTTGGTTTGGTTTGGTTTGGTTTGGTTTGATGGACAGTGTATGAATGTAAGAATGGAAGGACGGTTGACACATGAGACGGAGATCAACGTTTGTTTTACTCAGCGAAGAATTCAACATTTAAAAACTAAACAAAGCAAAAATGAATGTAAATTGGTTGGATAGTTGGTGAAGACTTTTGAGCAAGTATTCTAGTACAGTTCCAAAAAACAGAGGATTTTGATCAATTATTTTTAAGGGAATGACTTGTCTTCCTGATGAAACTTTAATTGGACTAACTAATTGAGATTTTTTATTAATGAAGTTTGATCGGTAATAATTATTAAATAAAATATTTTTATTAGTAAAAAAAATTTTAAAATTTAATTAACTCATATTTCCATAAACTCTTACTAATAAAAATTTTCTGTTTAACAATCTGGTTTTTGTGTCATTGTCATCGGTCATAAATATTTATGCATGCAATGGATACCATCTCCAACTACAGCAATAAATTATTGGGGAAATTACACTACATGCTGTTTGTAAAAAATATTTATAAATAAGTAAAAAAATATTATAAATATTAATAATTATAATTATATTTTTTATATATATATTTTAGTTTTTGCTACTCCACTTATGTGTTATTTCTCCTAAATTATTCAGTGTAAAGGGTTTGTTGGATGCTGTTTATTTGAGTGTGGTTTATAATTTTTTTATTTTGAAAATTTATGTTAAATTGAGACCATTTGGTGTTAAAAAAAAATTTATAATTTATGAGGTAGAAATAATTTAAATAAATTATCTAAAAAATGATTTTCAAAAATAACTAAAAAGTGTTTTTGACTTTTATTTTTAAATTATTAACTTTTAACATAAAATAAACCGCGGTCGCCTTATAGATTCATAATTAGGGTTAATTACATCAACATTCTCTCAATTATTAAAATTTATCATTTTATTTGCTCATCTATAAAATCATATATTTTTGAGTAAATTACATTTTGCCCCTTTATGTTTGGTCACTTGCTCACTTTAATCCTTTATGTTTCAAGTTTTTTTTCACTTTATTCCTGAAACTAATTTCTGTTCAAAATTAGATAGAAAATGATACATTGATATTCACATAACAAAAATATTTTATTATATATTACTCACACATCAGACATAAACTTATACTTTAATATAATAATATTTTTTTTATATTACGTGATTGTCAATGTGTCATTTTTTGTCTAATTTTGAACATAAATTAGCTTTAAGAATAAAATGGAAAAAATTTGAAACATAAAAGGCCAAAGTGAGAGAAAAAAAAAAACACTTTAAAAAATAAAGTGAAAAAGTGACCAAACAAAAAAGGGGACAAAGTGTAATTTATCCTATATTTTAACATCTTCAATTATAAAAAATAGTGTAATTTACTTTCAACCCATTAGATCCTTTCAAACCACTTCCAAAAAAAAAAATTTGTCTAAATTTAACTATTGTTAAATCTTGTATTCAGTATGAAAAAGAGTTTCAACTATAAAAGTCAAGCTTGAGTGAGGTTCTTTTGATTCGAAATAAAAAAACTTACATATAAAATGTTTATCTGTAAATAATTTTATTCCCTTTTATTTTTGTGATGTTCGGCTGCAATTTAAAAATATTGCAATTCCAATGCTATATCTACATCAGTGCTCAATATGAGTAAAATTCAATGGCCCATTTGGATAAAAATTAAAAAAAACAAAAACAAAAACAAAAAAAAAAAAACTCAATAATCAATATAGATAAGTTTTTTTTTGTTTTTCATCCTATATTTTCAAACATTATTGAAATTTGATGAACATTAGATGTTTTTCATCCTATATTTTCAAACATTATTGAAATTTGATGAACATTAGATGTTTGAAATCCAATGTTTGTAACATGACTCTGATGTTATTAACATTGTATCTGATGTTATTAACATTGTAATGGGACCTTTCCGTCTATAACAAAACTTTTAGGACTAAACAGTGCATAAGTTATTAATTTGGGATTTATTGGTGCATCCCCCATAATTTTATTCCCTTTTATTTTTGTGATGTTCGGCTGCAACTTAAAAATATTGCAATTCCAATGCTATATCTACATCAGTGCTCAATATGAGTAAAATTCAATAGCCCATTTGGATAAAAAAAATTTAAAAAAAAAACAAAAACAAAAACAAAAAACTCAATAATCAATATAGATAAGTTTTTTTTTCATGTTTTTTCTTTCCTTCATTTCTTTGTTATTTGAACGGAGACATTATAATTTCCACTTTTCAATCACATTACGTAAATGATTTATGGAAGCCGAAATGGTAAGCCATTTTTGGTAAATTTCAATAAAACATTTTACATACAAAAATATTTTACCCCATTATATGTAACCAAACACCAAAATTTAGGAAAATATTTTACATGCAAACAAATAGAGCCTAAATTTTAACAGAAAAAACAAGTTTTAACTAGACATTAAAAAAGTTTTAGATATTTTGCCCTACTGTAAAGTAAAACTCAAAAGCGTGTTTGGTTTCAATTTTCTAAATTCAATTTTCTAAAAATTTTATATTTCGTTTTCGTATTTTTTTTATTTTTAGTGAATATTTTTTAAATTTTAAGCAATTTTTTTACTTTTATAGATGACCTTACTTAGATGTATCTAAATAATAAAATATTTGTGAAAAAATATTTTAAAAAATTAATAAATACACAAAAATACGAAAAATGTAACTAATTTTCGTATTTTTTGATATTTAGTGAATTTTTTAAGATTTTTTACAAATATTATATTTTTAAGTGTATTCATATTAAGTGTGTCTAAAATTTTTTTAAAAAATTTCTTTAAATATTAAAAAAATTCATTAAAAACGTTAAAATACAAAAAATAAAAAAGTAGAATTTTTCGAAAACCAGAACCAAACAAACTAAAGTGTGTTTGGTTTAAATTTTTTTGATTAAATTTTTTGAAAACTAAGTTTTTTGGTTTTCGTATTTTTTTGTTTTTAGTGAATATTTTTAAAATTTTAAACATTTTTTTAATTTTTTAGATGCACCTTACTTAGATGTATCTAAAAAATAAAAAATTTGTGAAAAATATTTTAAAAAATTAATAAATACATAAAAATACAAAAAAATGTACTAAATTCTTATATTTTTTGTATTTTTGGTATTTAGTAAATTTTTAAAAATCTTTTTTCACAAATTTTTTACTTTTTAGGTATATTTATGTTAGATATGTCTAAAAATTAAAAAAAAATACTTAAAATATTAAAAAAATTTAGTAAAAACAAAAAAATACAAAAAAACAAGAAAATAGAATTTTTTGAAAAGTATTTTTGAAAAATGATAACCAAGCAAAGTGAATCACTAGTAAGCAAAATGCAGTTCAAGCAAAGTGAATCACAGTCGTTAAATTTGAGTTTCATTATTTTATATTTTTATGTACCATTAGTAAGCAAAATGCAGTTGTATTGGAGTTTATATTAGATTATGAAGATGGAAAAGTAAATACAGGATGCTGAAAAAGTGTTGTCTTTTTTCTTTTGTCTTTTTTGTTGAGTGTAATGTTAGAAATACTCCTTTAATATTAAAAGTGCTTAAAATTTATTTAAAAATAGTGACTCCCACATCTCATGTCACAAAAAAGAGTAAAAAACCTTCTTCCCTGAATATTTTTCTTATTAAAAAAAGGAAAAATTAAATAAAAGGCTACTTTTATAAAATAATTATGCATTAGTGAAAAATTTTATCAATATTAATAATTTAAATCATAAGTTTTTCAATATTTTTGTAAATATTTTTCTGACATTCTACTGTTTTGTAATTTTCCCTTAAAAAAACCTTCAATTGCGCCACAGATTTTGTTAGATGAATAACTTTCCGCATTGTTGGTAGAATTGCAAAGTAAATTGACGGCTTGACTGCTTCCACGTCAATATATACTGCACGTTCTTTATTTTTTGGAATATAAAAAACTATTCAAACATAGAATAAATAAATTTATTTTTAAACTACTGATTGTAAAATATTGACATCAATAAAATTATACTTTAAATTAAAAATATTTAGGAAAAATTTTAAAATTTATAATAATGTAATTATTATAAAAATATTAGGAAAAAAATTCAGAATTTGACCCTATAATAAAACAAATTTTGAGCTTTTATTTTTTTAATTTAAACTCTAATATTTTGATTATTTTTAATTTAAACTATTTGTCTACTTTTTTTTCAAGTAAAACTAACTGAAAAAGGAGCATTTGGGAAGAAGGTTGGAAGAGATTGGGAAGAAAAAAAATAGCTCAATTTAGGCTAAAATTCACAAAAAGACAAAATAGGCTAAAATAGCTAATAAGACAAAATATCACATCAAACCCATAATCATTTCACTTTTTCTCTCACAAACATCACATCCAACCACAAAAAAATCCAATCATCTTCCCAAATACAAAAATTTTAACATACTAAAATAGCTAAAAATTAAAATAACCTACTAAAATAATCACTTCCCAAACGAGGCCAAAGGGTCGCTGGAGGTTGAGGGGAAGCTATTGGAGGAAGGTTGTAAGGGTGGTGGTCAAAAGGATTGAATTGGAATTATCGTGAATGTTCAAAAAAAAAAAAAGGGGGAAGCAATTTTGCTATAGCATTACTCTTTGAAGAAAAAAAAAATCAAATTTATAAATTCTCTTTTTATTTTAAAAATTTGTGCAAGAGTGTTTGATATAACTTTTCACTACACTTTAGGGGGCACAAACAACTTAAATAAGTAATAATAATAATAACATCATTATTAAAGTTTTGACTACAAATATTCAAACTTTTGATAAATTTATTAATATGTTAGATGGTACCCAATCTATTGCTTTAATATATCGTATATATTATAAATGTATAAAAATCAATCTAAATGTATATGCTTTAGTCAAAAACTCCAAGAATAAAACATTACTTATTCAAAGTAATACTGATGATGCTAATATTGAAGTACTAGAAACCATACTT